TGAGCATTAAGTCAGTGTTGGAATTTTATCTTACGTTTGCATTCGCGTCACCGATGATTTAGAGAACAATGATTTAAGTTTGATCCCTCTCAGTAACTCAAGTAGAATTTTGGGTATAAGTTTTTTTCAAAGGAACCACTAGGAGTGATTCTTCCTCAAGGACACAGACGGAGCTTTTGTTTTCCAAAATGAACCAGTTATTGTCGAAATAGTCCCACAGAACACATCTTCCGGGCCCTGAAAATATGACACCAGACTAGATTAAGGGTTGTAATTCGCAGGCTGAACACGGCTATCAACAGAAAAGTCAATATGATGTTCGTTTTACTCTGTACAGCGAAGTCCACTGACTGAAGTTCTGCGTCTGTCGATCGTTCACACAGAATATATCATCCGTATATCTGATAGATTGTGTTCATTCCCAACAGTTGAGCTCAGTGTGGCCTTTTCTAGTCTAGCCACAGAAATGTCGGCAATCAACCAATAGAATGCTTATCCCATGGCAACTCTGCCAATTGGATGATGGATAAACAGTTAGATAGACAGATAGAGATAGAAAACGGATGTTAAATGTGCAACGCAGTAATAGTTCCTTTAGGTTTGTGACCGGAATACCGCAGGGGGACACTAATGCACAGTAAAACGACATCCCAGGAAAATATCTTCTATTCTTGCAAACCCAGGACTTCTACCTTCGCTATAAACTAAAAACTCTCAGAGAATATGCGTTGCTGTGGGAAGTGTTGAATTCACCGCATCACAAAATGGCAGAGTGGTTGATTAAACTATCGGAACTTGTTCATCATGGACTGGCCATTTGCTTGGGAATTGGTTGAGACGTGTACTACTCACTAAACAGTCATAAACTATGTAAATCGCCTAGGTGAAATTCATGACTGATAACCAGAAAATTTGACTGTCATCCTGTATATATTGAATTATTAAAATTGTGGAAATGATCATATTCATTTATCCGAACTGATCGATATCCATACCATTCTGTTCAACTTTTCGAATGTGTTCAAATGTATTTAATGGTCCAATGACTAAACACGATCCGGTGTATTCAGCTGTATTGAATTAATCGAGATAAATCTGATCATTGATTCCACAACGAAACCAATAATACACCATGCGAACACCTCAATACCATACAAAAGAGTGTGATCCACGTGACCGCTTGTCACGTGGAAAACGGCGAATGAATATAGTCAGTCGATTTGCTAACCAAACGGATGACAAAGTGATTTAAGGTGCAATAGTTTGAATTGAAACTCCATGACTGAGCACTTGCACGCATCCGCTCTCCCTCCCACCTCCTATATCCAAACGCGATCCGTACGGTTTACGGTCACACATATTTCAGTCGGCATGATCAGCTGTCACGATGAAACCGCATGAACGAACTTTATAAATTTTGTATGGGTGATTTATTCACACACTTAGTCTGGTCAATGGGAACACCTTGAGTTTGAGTTTCAGACAACTCGACAAATCTTTTCGCTATAATCTTAAGGAGTAAAACCTATATTTTCTGAATGTTTGTTCTGTCGCCAATTACATTTTTGCACATATATTCATTCCAACGAAGCCCTCGACAGCGGGACGATTTTTGCTTTATTCGAACAAAGTCATCTTGTATCTCAAAGTGTTTCTTATTGAGCACGATGATGTCTTCTAACAGGCTGGAAGTAATTTGAGCTGATTTGACACCGGGTCTGATATCAATACCACTGTGCTATCCATCGGACGGATCGGAACGCGAACTATTAACCCACATTAGCTGAATCGAATCGATGGGGATTTCTTGCTACAAAACACCATCATCTTTCACACAGTGGAACCATGGAAATAATCTATTTTGCCGGACTCTATTCAGTTTCCTTTACCTGAACAATACCAGATAGTCGTAGGTGCTATTCATTTGAACAAAAAAGAAAATGTTGAATAAAATCTTTCCTATCGTTGTAACATTCAGATAATGACACAATCGAACTAGCCGGGATTGCGAACCAAACGGAACGAGCGGTATGACTGACCACGAATAGAAACTGTAACGACTCAGTGATCCAGTGACACAAATAGCCCGACTGCGGTATCCAGTGCGATGCCCAAGAGAACAGATAGAACGCCTCGAGAGAGAGAGAGAGAACGAGGGAGAGTAGTGCGACCCCGGAACCCAACCAGAGAGAAGTCGAAATACAGGTGAGGTTTTCTCGATCCAAAACCTGTGCACAGTTCATCTGTTTATACACAGAGACCGAGGGCGACCAATAATGACCTTGAAAATTAGCTTGAAAGTACAGAGCTCTGGGGAAATGACCCTATCCTGATAGCCGATGGTGTGAACTGAGGTTTTTCTAGGGCGAAAATTCGGAAATTCAACTTTCATATTTAAGAAAAATTATTAGGAAAATAAGAAAAAAGAGAGATAAATAGTCACTTTTGAAGGGAAAATGGGCCTTACCTGTCCCCAATATAGAACGGAAATAAACGTAGACCGAAAAGCTTGTAAGCTTGTATAACAGTTGCGGTGAAAACAGTAATGTGATTCCGTTGATTACATAAAAAATCGAACCTGGATTCTCCCAAACGGATCTCGGGGATGATAGCCCGTACAACATCTACAAGTACGAAATGCACCTCCAGGTGCGGCTTATTTGATCCGTAACCATTCTGTCGATGAGTTTTAAGGTTTTGGATTGCTCATGGTTTGCTGAAGCTGTGAAGAGCATGGTGGCTGACATGGTGCCCTACTGATCCCAGTGTCGGGGGAGGTTGTGACGTCCGCATCTGGATAGCTTGATGGAACAGTGAGTGTCGTACAGCATAATGAACGCTAATCAAACAGCTGATCGGGCTGTGGTTGCACCGTCATCCCATCGCCGGCGGACTTGGTTATGATGGCCACCCCAGATGTCCTCACATTTCGAATACGGGGAACTGAAACGCATGCTAAACGAGGTCAGAAGGAGTTACAGACTGATTCACAACTGCTCGTTTTCTTTGTAACTTATTCGGCGAGATTTATCAACCAAGTCAAGCAGATCACTCACTCGACATGCCAAGTTCCATATCTGGTATCTGTAGATTCGGATGTATTACTTATCCGATCTCATCTCGTTGCTGCGCACATTGTAACAATGAGGGACGCAAAACACTGTAGATAATGTGCCTCACCACGCAACAGTCTTTTTATACATTGTGATAGTTCCATTTTCCTAAGTCACGCAACAATAATATGTTGTGAAATCGGTCTCTTAGTTCGGTTTTACTTAAAGTATAGTAATTGAATAAGTGCACTATCTGATCAGTCTGGAGTACATACCAAAAATATACTACTAAACTCTTTTAGCTTCTTCAATCCTTCACTGACCTAAATTGTTCCAAATAATACCATCACTTTGAGCTACTTACTGTATTCAAAGTCTCCTATATCGGCTCTGTTCTGGGTAAATAAAGTCAATCCATAAGTGGGCGGACCAGGGATCAATTGCTGCAATACGGTCGAACTAACTAAGCTAACTCAGATAGAACCAGAATGATAGGCACATCGCATCAAACATAAGCATACAGAGATCAGACTGTTTTTCCTAATATCCACTGAAGTTATCCGGATGAAAAGGGTGTCCCTTTTTCATTCGGGAATGAAGTATTTTTGGGAAACAATATCTAACCTTACTATGTGAAGAGCCAAATAAAACCGATTGTCTTCTGTTCAAACTGGAAAACTTTTCATCGAAGCTAAATGAATGATGTGACACGACTGATATCTTCAACTCATGGTATAACATTGATTCAATGATTGACTGATTGATTGATTGATTAATTGATTGATTGATTGATTGATTGATTGATTGATTGATTGATTGATTGATTGATTGATTGGTTGGATCGAAATAAATGCTGCAAGTCCGACACAATCCAAAAAATGTCATGGATAACACTAGGGATTAGTCAAGTGTGCAGTCTGTAGTCTGTGAATACACTGCACCCGATCAAAGACTGACTCACTGGAGGCGTAAAATAGTGTTGTATTTAGGGACACACGGTGGGATTCAAACTCACATTTTCCAGTTGATATGAGGGAAAAAATGGAAAATCGTCTCAAAGTTAATATTACGCCCCTCATCATGGTCAACCAAACATAAGTACTGTTTGCCGTGTTTTTTTTTCAACCTGATATCTATCGTCCCCATATTGAAACGTCTTTCGACTCAGCACTATTCTAAATAAATGATGATTTAATCACGGTCCCGGTCAGACCAGTGAAATCATTCGCCTGTGGTTGATTTATACTGTAGCGCCTGAGTGAAATGTTGCTAACAGATGAATAATACGTGTATTTACCAGACAGGTGGATTGCCCAAACGATGAGCAACCATTGAAGTGGAAAACAAATCAGTTATTCTATCTCCTAATTTATTCTGACAGCCTATGATGTTTGGAAATCCTTATCGCATGTTCACGGACGATGTGAAAGTAATGGGCGTAAATCTAGAACATGACGTGGAACTGTTTAGATAGTGGTCGATCAAGTGGGACTTGCCACTTCACCTCGAAAAGTGCCGACTTTTAATAGCAAGAGTTTTTGCACCGCCCCGGGCGGACAGCTGCCGCTGCGGCACACAGAGGTAGTTAAGGACTCAGGAGTTATTCTCATCAAGGGCTTCAGGTCCGAAACAATGTCTGAGTACAGCGAATAAAGCCCGTGGTAAACTCTTCAGGTTGCATGCTACCATCACCGGTAGAGACGTAGAGGTCTTTGTTCCTATTCATAAGGCAATAGTTCGTCCGCACTTAGAATACTATGTTCAGTCATGACCCCTATGGGAAGGATATATCATGCCTGAAGGAGGTGGAACGTTCTTCTACCTGAATGACAGCTGGAAAACTGGAAAGTAAACGAGTGAGTGGAGACTTGATATAAACCTTTAAAGCAGTCAGAGGGCATGTAGACGACTTTTTTACGGCTTCTGGTGCTCAAAACACGAGAGGTCATGGCTCTAAGCTCCAATGGTAAGTCCGAGCCAACCACTTCTCATACAGGGTCATACATACATGGAATAGGTTATCCAGCTATCAGTGGTTTTCAATGTATGTTGGTCGGAAATGTTCCTCGAGATTACGTTGTACAGTGTATTGTCATTGCAAAACAGGCAACCCGTAGGTTCAAACTGTGGAACCAGGTGTTTTGAATGATGTTCACCAGGGATAGCAGTGGCATGATATACATTGGAAACCGAAACGCTTGCGAAATTTAAAGTCTCTCAAAGATGAGGTGAGAAGACATCCCTTTTTCAATTTCTCTGTTTTACAGCTCGATAGAGAAAATCTGCCATCTGGGCCACAATTTGTCCTGGTAAGATTGAATAGGAATGGACGTGATTAATCAGATCGATTGCGACGCGATCAAGAGTACTATGCTAATAGGATAGTGCATTTGGAACCGACAATCTTCTGATTTATGTCGCATGATCACTGAATGTGATTCGCCCAATAAACGCAACACAAACCTCATGGTCTTCTTCCCCGGTCCGTGTTCCGTGAATTCCAACAGCTGATCACCGATATCAGTTACATTCGGGATGCATACACACAGCATATTCCATTTCGCCTCTCTCGCCGGGCAATTGGCAATTTGTTTGCAAACGTTTCACCACACCAGCTGAGGTAATGTCATGATCCGTGTTTGTGAAAATGGCCTATGCTTATGGTTTATTGTAATGATTGTAGTAGTAGTAGTAGTAGTAGTACTCACGGAATTCGGCATGCAGACCACGAAATAGGAATCACAGAACATGATTCAATAATCAGCTTTCACGGGCTGGATCACAGAGGCACTAGACCGCAATGGCACGGGTTCGCAATGTCCCACGAGAACGAGACGCGAGGAAAAGTTCACCGGAATAGTAGTACGTAGTTCGATTATTGAAAGAAACTAAGTTGATTAAATAATATATACAGAGGCAGATTATTGGATACCTGGGCTTCCACCAATGGGATGGTATAATCTTGCTTCTGTCCGCACTCTCTTGGATTGGCTGACTACATCCACCAATGACGTGTATTCAGAAGCCATGCACGTGTCATTGACGTCAGCATTCAAACTTGATTGATCGCCACTATCCTGCTCCAGGATAGGTGCCATCGTATAGGCCTGGATCACCACACTTATGTTTGGTCATGATTTCTGTGTTGTTGACTGTGGATTGCAAACTGACGCCTAAAAAAATGAGTAGAACTGAGGTATTTTGTCCTTTACTTCACTGTGTTTAAAGGCTCGGTGAATTGGAAATATTTTGTTGAATTCATTTTGATAGCATTCTCCGGCTCAACAAGTCAAACTGAATCAAATTAAGAACCTTTTCACCCATCTACTTTATGTGTCTCGTTCACAGTTCGATACTCACGACAAAGCCAAACAGAAAGGAAAGCAACGTAAACAAAAAATAAATTACACCCTGAAACCTACGGTAGTCATTCATCTCGAGATGATGGCATCTGCCCTGACAATTCAAACCTAACTGTATCAATCCTAAGCCGGAAAATTTCGATTCGAATTCAGACAGGGAAATCGATATGGTACAGATTACTGATGAGCTCCATCTCATTGTTCATCTAACAAAAACACATGTTTCGCGCATAAAAAACACATCGCCTGAAATAACTTATTTTATTAGATCCGAGGTGCAGTGTACTGATTGGGAGCGGAGGGACTCGGGGTGGGGGGGGGAAGGCCACATCGGAAAGAAGCGAACACAGTCAACTCTGACTACACTTATAAAGTGTTTACGCGTGTGAGGGTTGCTTGCATAAGGGTCAGTTACCAATGTCGACATGCAGCAAATGAAATCAATCAGTGAAAAGTTTATGATGCACCAGCATTCTCACAATTTGGTGTGTTAGTGTACAACGTAAAGTGCACACTGCTCATTGGATTTTTGACAACATAAGGAAAAAGCTTCGGAGATGTAAACTCAGGTAAAAAGTTTCCGATGAAACAGAATGACACGGGACAAAAACACTATTTTTCTTCATGATATGGATTGAGTTTATTGATGGAATTCCTTTCGTCCCAAACAAATTTAAACGAAACTTTGTCCAATATCTGGCCTTCAGAACTCGAATGATCTGCTCCAAGGATCTAGTGGAGGAAGAACTTAGATTCATCAAATCTACACTCCTGAATATTGAATACTCGGAGCGTTTCATCGAGAAGTACCTCATAGAAAATCCTACACTGCCAAAACCAATCATGGCCAAAAAGAAAGAACTATTTTTACAGCTCCCATTTCAAAGACGATACGAGTGGTGATCTAGTAAAAAGATGTCTGGAAAAAGCAATTGCACGGACATATCCAGCCACCATCTTACATGTGATGTTTACAAGCCGGTCACAGCACAAACTGCACAAACCTCAACAATAAGCTGTCCATCCTCTCCTTATCTATGATTACCTATTCTTTCACTTGCACATCATGTTCGGCAAGTTATTTAGGACAAACGATGAGACAGTTCTCACTAGGGATCGGGGAACATAAACCGAATTAGCTTAGCACGGGTTGCAAGAAAGCAATAACTAATGCAACTGTGACCCTCCTCACCGACACCGGGCACCAGCCAGACAACGACGTATTTGAAGTCATTTACAAAGTGCTCCAAAACAAATCGCTGTACGTTCGGAAACGTCAATTGGCAACGGCAGAAGCTGTAGTAATCAAAATCATGAACTCACCATGGTGCATACAGAACAAGATGGTTGCCTCACTCCAGTTGTCTTGGTCACAACCAAACTTACTTGACGACCCGAACCATGATCTCAGTCATGTTGTGATGACGCAACATGACGTGACCGGTTGCGCGTGTAAAAGGTCATCAGAAATTTCCAGATTTGACCTTGGTCCACCTTTGTCCCCATTTTCCCCATTCGCTCCGATTAAATTTGACAGACATTATTGTATTTTCACATTTATTCACAACGGACCAGTCACACTTATTTCTACATCGGATATAAACACACACAGAACTGTAAATACCGAAAGACGAAGTTACGAGAACAAGCCTTTTCGCTATATTGTTTGTCATTTGATAGCATTCTGGCGATATCACGTGATACCACACCATTTTTGGTTTGTTTCGTATGCTTCAGTTAATCTTAGTAAAAACTCATCGACTCTATTGTATAGGCACGTAGCGTCGTTCTTGATGACTTGTGGTTCGCCCAAGTTGAACCGGTGGGTTGATATATCTAAGCGAGTTGCTTGGATCAGTCGTGAGCCACACGTCCAATGAGTAAATGAGAAAACTGATGTGTCTACTGTTTTGCGATACTCCTAAAAGGAATAGTTTAGATATTTGTTCGCTTATGGTCCATACACATATCGGACAACGACGCTTTGTTGATCGCTTATTGAAGAAGAAAAACACACGGTTTAAGGGGTGACCTAGACAAGGTGAAACATGCCACAATTAACTTTTACGTTGACAATTGAGCTTATTCGTCGAGAATGATTATTCATGCTCAATAAGTCTGTCAGTTTTTGAAATATTTTCACTAAAGTCGGGAATATTTGTATCGTTTGCTTTTTTTCTTGGTTCTAGAACACAATCTCAGCGGAACAATTGTTTTCAACAACTCATAATCAAGCCGTTACAGTTTATATGACGGGAAAAATCCTAGGGGTTAGGAAGAGAACAATAAAATGTAAGGAATCGTTCATTTTATGTATGCGTATGTCTGTGTTTGTGTGTGTGTGTGTGTGTGTGTTGCACACCGCATTCTCAGATCTGTGCTCCCGGGGTTTGTAGGTATGTCACAACAGTCGTGTGAGTCAGTTCTGAGGAATCGGTGTTGTTGTATGAAAATGTTTGTGTGTGTGCGGGCAGAGGGGGTATGCGGCTGAAGTGGGTTCGCGAACCCAGGATACATGGAGAGCTTGGATAA